TTTTTTTTTAATTTTCCACTTAAAAAGTCAGGGTCTCATGTAGCCAAGGCTACACTCACTATGTAGCCTAGGATGACCTTAAGTTTCTAGTTGTCCTGCCTCTGCCTCCCAGATCCACCACACCAGTGGCGTTGGATCAAACCCAGGGCTAAACACAAGCACTCTCTACCCGTGAACTACATCCTTAGGCCCTGTTTCTATTTTGTGGCTATTAGGATTAAATTTAACAAGTTCTCTCTCAGGCTGGAGAGATGGCTCGGTGGTTAAGAGCACTGGCTGCTCTCCCAGAGGTCCGGGGTTCAATTCCCAGCAGCTCACAACTGTCTGTAACTCCAGTTCCAGGGCGTCTGACACCCTCACACCAATGCACATAAAATAAAGTTAAATAAGTTGCTTTTAAAAAGTTTTCTTTCTCCCCCCCTCCCCCCTCCTTAGACTGGGTCTTGCTTGGCCTGGGACTCACTCTGTAGCCAAGATTAGCCTTGAACTCATGGCAATCCTCCTGCCTTAGCTTCCTGAGTGCAGGGATTACATTAAGTACCACCATGCCTGGCTTTTCTTTTGGTTTTTCAAGCCAGGGTCCCTCCTGGCCCAGTGTGGCCCTGAACTTGATGTGTGGCGGGGGATGCCCTTGAAGCCCTGCTCTTCCTGCCCCTCCCTCTCAAGACCAGCTAGAGTGAGTTCCAGGCCAGTCAGGAGAACCTGCCTCAACAAAACAATTCATGAAATACCTATTTTGGCTAGGGATGTAGCTTAGGGGTGGAGTGCTAGCCCATGTGAATGCCCCACCCCGACTTCCACCCCCCAGTACCGCCAAACAGCAGAAACAAACAAATAAAAAATTCTGATATATTACTTTGAAAACGGTGTGGTAGTTCCCTAAAAGTAAACACGGGTCTGGGGGTGTGGCTCAGTGGCAGAGTTCAGGCCTAGCCTGTATGAGGCTGTGGGTTTGATCAGAGTATGGTTCAATTATTCTACTCACAGGTGTCTACCCCACAGGGCTGAAACCAGACATTACCACCAAACTTGTACCTGGGGAATAATCAATCACCAAGTGTCCACCGACTCTGGATGACTGGTTAAACAAACTGTGGTATATCCATACAATGGAATACTTTGCAACCATGAAAAGGAGCGAAGTGCTGACGCCCGATGTACCACGGGCAAACCCTGAGACCTCATTTGTACACTCCCTGAAGGCAGCAGTAATCAGTTTACCCTTTACCAGACAGTGGAAACTCTCTGTGGGACAGAGGAGAGGTCCTGCCCCTCGGCTGCCTGCCCAATGGGGGATCTGCCAGCAGGTGAATCACAACAGCTCTGGCCTCACCCTCTGTGTTCACTGACTGCAGTATCTCTCATCCATTAACGTTAACAGGTGGCTTTGGATTTCTGTTGGGTTCCACCCACCTCTGGGGCATGCTGGGTCTGGGCACACTGTAGGGGTAAAGTCCTGGGACATTACCCTCAATCATCCTCAAGTCTCAAGGGCCTCTAGGTCAGGGAGAGTCACACCAGCTGGGAATATCAATGTTCCTATGCCACCACCTGTTTTTCTCCTCTTTGAGCCAAGGTCTGTGTCCTGAATCTCAGTATATAGACCAGGCTGGTCTCAAACTTACAGCCTCTGTCTGTCTCCTGGGTGCTGGGATTAAAACTGAAAGCCAACCCCATCTAGCCTGTGTCTCTCTTGAAGTGGACTCTGCCCATGGTGTTAGGGTACTGATGGTGGCCCTGGGTAGGGACAGGAGCTTTCCAGTTACCTCGAGCCTTAAGTACGGTGGACGTGGCGAGGTAGTGGTGAGTAGTGGTGAATAGTGGTGAATAGTGGAATAGTGGTGAATAGCCTAACATTGACCAGACCCCAGGGTTCAGCCCCGGCACAGCCAAGCAACAACAGCCAAGTCAATTACTCTGAACCTCTTTTGGAGACTCGAAGGTGACCCACCCTGCCATGGCTGCTGGAATTTCCTCAGACCAGGCCCAGTTCTCTTCTATATAAACAGGCCTGGAGTCCAGAAGAGGGGCCACAGGCCGCCCACAGCTGGCCTGGCCTCCTGCAGAGGGGTCACTGGGAATTCTGTGTTTCATCAAATATTGCTGGGCTACAGAGTTTTATTTGAAAATAATTTTAATTAGCCGGAAACTAGGAGTTTAATAAATGGAAAACAGAGAACTTTCCAAGGCCACAGCTGGGAAACACTCGCTTTAAAAAAAAAAAAAAAAGAAAAAAAATTCCGCCTTGATTCCCAGGCCAGTTAAAGCACCCTGACTGGAGGACCCTGAGTGCCAGACAAATCCACAAGAAAAACAAAGCTTATTTTTAGAGAAATATTTTAAACTTGGTTTCAATGATCTCAGGAGTTTCCTTCCCCATCCGTCTTGGGTCCTTACATCTTCCCTCTATTTTGGGGCGACCTCCCCGGGCGAAGAATGAGTATCGGACAGGAGCTATTTCTGCCCAGATGAAAAGAAGAGGCCCCTCCCTCAGCGCCCCCAGAGAATGAATTGTTGCTAAAAATGTCCCCGCAGGCAGCCAGGGGCCCCTGAGGCCCGTCTTGGCAGGTGTGCCCATCCTGACGGTGGCTCTGGGGTCCCTGCAGGCTTGGAGACAGTGGCCACTCGCCCGCTAGCCCTGTCTTGCCCCCGCCCAGCAGGAAGCCGGTCGCAGCCTGGCAGTTATTTCCGGGTTTTGAAAGCAGTTTTAAAGTTGAAAGAGGCTTGTTAAGAAGGGCTGCTTTGCCTTTATAGGTGTGGGTAAACCTCCACCCCCACCCCGGACAGACACACCCCCATACCCCTGCGGACACCACCAGACCCAAACACCGCAAGCAAGCGGTACACACACACACACACACACACACACACACACACACTGAAGGCCCACACCCCTCCCCCACGGCGGCAGCCACATACAGACACACCCAAACCCACCCACACACACACACACACACACACACACACACAGCAGGGCACAAGGACACACCCACCAGAGCAACCCATGTACTCAGCATGCACACACACACACACACACACACACACACACACAGCCCCCACATCACGACACCTATGACCCTAACACAGAGACCCACACACTCCCACACCCTCAAACCCTACAACCCTAAATACACAGCACAAACCCAAACCCACACTCCACACACAGATCCACACACCCCTACAACAGGCAATCCATACATCACAAGATACACCCACAATCATCAACACCCACAGACCCTTATACTCCGTAAGATTCATAACCCCCTACAGCAGCTTTGTCCAGAAACACATCCCCACCCACCCCTTCTGAATCCATTACACACATCGCAGACACAGATCAGCACTCATAAACACCTGTCTATGCAGACAGACACTGGGGACTCACAGACACAAACCCACCTCCCACATGGGTACCCCTTCACACCTCCCTTCAGAGGTGCCTTGCCAAGCATACCCATGAATGCTCCTGCACTTTTCCAGCTCCACTGGTAATAAGTTAGAAGAGAGGTACCACAGCTGCCTGCTCTGGCGCCATCCATCTTCCCGCCCTGCCTCAATTTCCTTTTTCCTTCTCTCCCTCCCTCTTTGGCTTGCTAGTGGCTCAGATCAAGAATTGCACTGCCTAGCTGGGTGGTGGTGGCGCACGCCTTTAATCCCAGCACTCGGGAGGCTGAGGCAGGCGGATCTCTGTGAGTTCAAGGCCAGGCAGAGGCAGGCGGATCTCTGTGAGTTCAAGGCCAGGCAGAGGCAGGCGGATCTCTGTGAGTTCAAGGCCAGGCAGAGGCAAGCGGATCTCTGTGAGTTCAAGGCCAGCCCGGTCTACATTGTGAGTTCCAGGACAGCCAGGGCTACACAGAGAAACCCTGTCTGGAAAAAACAAAACAAAACAAAACAAAAAAGCCCAACAAAACCCAAAAAACTGCCCTGAATGTCTAACGCTCACTACATCTGCCAGAATAATAAATACAACAAAATGAGATTACAGCTGAGCGTTGTGGGGAACACCTACAGTCCCGAATCAGCTGGAGGCTGAGGCAGGAGGATCTGTAGTTACAAACAAACAAAAAAGAGCTTGACTGGCCTCAGTCCAACAGCTTGGTCAGCCTGAAAGGGCTGCAGAGACCCAACTTCCGGTTTAAAAAAAAAACTGGGTGCGAGTCATATCCGCCTTCATCTGTCACCACAAGCAAAGCTGGGGGACAGCGGTGTGTCTGCAGGTGGGTTTCCTCCCAAGGTTTAATGTTTTCCAACTCCCTGTAGACATCCACCCGAGCGATGGCTTTCCCGAGGCCCCCCAGCAGGCTCGACACCGAGGACCCTCCCTCAGGAGCAGACCTGGCAGTCAGGAGTCTGGCCTACCCCCTTTCCTGCATCAAGGGCCTTCCAGGCCACCCCGCTCACAACCCTCCACGTCTTCACGCTCGTCAGTGAGGCAGGGTTCAGCTGTGTGCTGTCTTTTGCACATCCAGCAGGGGATGCAGACAGCAGGATCTGTGCTCACACACATCCTCCTCCTGAAATAGTTTATAAGGCGGGGCACACTAGTTGCATTGTTTCAAAATCACCCCAAGTCTCCAAGCAGTCAGTTGGAAGGCCTCTTGGAACCACTAGGTTCTGGGCCTACAACGGCCCCTGAAGGACTCTCTCTAGACTCACCTGAAGCCTCCGCTCTCTCAGCTCCACGATGCAGACTGAGGTGGCTACTCCTACTTTGTCCTGACTTGCAAGTTTTACTTTTAGATCTTGGATTTACAAACAAACAAACACACAAACATCCTCAGGGTGATCAAGTACAGGCTGTTTGTTATTTATTCTGGTTGCTGCCGAAACGAAACACAATGACCCAGAGCCTCCCCTGATGTGTGTGGGTGAGAAAACTTCTGAATGACAACCTACCTCCCCAAGCTTTCCACGCTCCGACGCATCTAAGACACAAAACTTCAGAGCCCAGCAGTTGGGCTTCCCAAGAGAGCAGTTTTAAAAAAATGAATGTGGCTTACCCCAAAGAGAAGTCCAACATTCCAGCTGATCAATAGTACTTGTTCAGAAAAATAAGTTTGGGAATGAAGTGGAAACAAGGTCTTTGAAATGCAGCCGGGCCTAAATAGCTCCACAGTGGAGCCGTTTCCTCCTGATTGCACATTCTTTATGGCCCAGAGGCCAGAGAGCTGCAGGGGCTTCTCCCAACCCCAGGCCTTCTTGGCCTCAGGCTCCCTCCACCCCCAAGGCCCAACATCTGGGAGAACTTTGAAACTGTTCTCCACTCTGGCAGCAAGCACATAAAAAAAAAAAAAAAAAAAATAAAAAAAAAAAAAAAAAAAAATCGCTCCAGCGAACACCAACTCCATCTTCCTTAACGAGAAACAGCTGGCCAGCCTGGCGATGCATCCCTCAGACACCCCCCCCCCTCCACTCCTGCTCAGCTGTGAGTCACAGGAGACCCTGGCCAAGGCAGGGCCCAGCCAGAGTGGGGGCTAAGATTGGTTGATAGAGCCCAGCTGTTATGGATAAGAAAGCAAACTATTGCCGCATCTCCTGCCTACTTTGGAAAAGGTGTCTGAACTGGGTGTATGGGGGTTGGGGGGAGAAAAATCCAACTGTCTCAGGAGTTTCAAAGTGATGGTTTTAAAACAGGGTAAAAACAACAACAACAACAAAAAAACACCCAAAACCACAAGTGACTTTAGCTTGTTAAGCTTTGAGAACCCGGGAAAGCAAGGTAGTCTTGTGTCTTCTGTAGAAGTCGGGTTGAATTTGCTTTCTGGCCTGCCCGGTCTTCCTTTTGCATAAATAGCCTGAATGTGCTCATTCCCAGAGGAAGTTGTCTGTGTAAACAAACATCACCCAGATAGAAGTTTAACCCGCTTAATCTTCCTCCCTCTCTGAACGAGGACATAACCCAGCTTTTCCAAAGTCCAAGCAAAACCCTGGACTCCCAACGCCTGGCCCCAAACTCCACATCCAGCCCCCCCTTGTCAAGGCTACAGGCCCTGGTCAGGCATCCTGGAGAAAAATCGGCCCTTCAGCTGCCAGAGCAGCCACGTGATCCACTGGGTGACTCACAGGCCGGCCACACCCCTTGCAGTCTCCCGCCAGGCCCTGCCACCAGCCAGCCAGCCAATACTGGGATGCATCTTATTACCAAAGGGAACAGCTAACAAATGCCCCCTGACAGCCAAATAATTACTGTCTTTCAGCTGAAAGGACTTGCTAGAAAATAAATACAGGTACAAGTGGATGCAGGCTCTTGTGAGGTCTGCCAGCTCCCCACATCCTCCCCCCACACCCCCTTCCCCGACCTGCAGAGGCCATGGAAAGCCAGGAAGAGAGACCAGCTTAAAAAGAAGACTCCTTTCACTCAGGGATGCTTTTTTTTTTTTCCCAAAAAATTTTATTGGGGGAAAACTACAAAACATTTACAGTACAATGTTTACAGTCACAATTTGTAGTGAACTGATTCCCCAAAATATATTACAACTCAAGTTGACTTATCTTGTTACATTCAAAAACCTACTTCTGTCAAAAGTAGTCCAGAGTACACTCGGTGCTCCAACTGTACCTACATACAAACTTAAGCGCCTGCTCATTCCTCCGCCATCCAGGAAGGCCTGGGAGTCGACATTCCTGCCTTTTTACATTGAAAAATAATAGTACAAGTTTTGGACTCTCACAAAACAAGGCATATTCATGTACTACAGACCATTTCAGCACTAAGATGGCCCTCTTCACTTTATAGCTATATAAAAAAAAGTGGTAAAAATCTCTTCCTTTTGTGCAGGTGAACCCATCCGACATTCAAATTCTCTCAAGCACTAATGAAATACTTATTTGGTTGAGGAAGATTTAAGGCAAGTTCGGGCCCTGTGAAGGCACTGAGAGCATTTCCCCATTATTGCTACATGTCTTTATACTCAATGTCACAGTAGATCTGGTGGTGGAGTCAGCAACCATTTTTTTTTTTCTTGCTGGTTTATAAAGCTGGAATTAGAAAAGCATGCCACATGTGAGCCTGACTGCGAAGTTATGTGGTCATTCTTTCTCTCTTTAAAGCTGGATGGGCCACAACCATTATACATTCTAAGAAAAACTCAAAATGTTCCTCAAACTACTTCCACAGCATCAAGATAGATAGATTTCTGTCAAGAAATCATGCAATCTTTTGAAATTTACGTAAACAAGGAAAGAAATTAATGAAATAAATATTACATACAATCTCTTAAATTAAGATTTTTTTCTTACTCATTTACAATAAAATAACCAAGTGAAGTTACAAAAGGCATATATTACTGTGAAAAGAACATACACTCCACATTTTGCCGATTAATAATGGCAATTATAATTTAACATAATAAAAGAATATATATCTATTGCTTTTCATCATACTCGATAAATACAGTATGAACAACATCCTCAATGTATACTTTTCACAAGATAATAAATAAGTTAAATAGTTTTTTTTTTTCATATTGAGTTGTGGTGCCGTGGCGCGAATCAACTCAGAACAGCTAAAAATGAAGCACACTTGTCTCCCAACAAGGACGAACTGAGCTCTGCTCAAGGCTTCCAGAGAGCAGAGGAAACGGTTCTAGACTAAGCACCCACTCAGTGGTGCAATGAGACCAGTATCGAACTTTGGAATGCAAGGTTCCCTCCCCCCACCCCAAACATATATAACTTTGTTTAAAAAAACAAAAACAAAAACAAGGAAAACAACCGCACTCACGGGCCGAAGGCTACTCGTTTCAAGGCATGTTCTTGGCATTACACTGAATTCTAGAAGCTTATAGTTTAGGGAGGTGGCAGCCGGCTGGCTCACACTGGTCTGAGACAATACATTAGGAACCCCTTCCAAGGTTAAGAGTTCTCACATCTGGACTGTAACTAAGGCTTTCAAGTGAAAGAAGAGATGGAATGGTGATTTTTAGCTGCTGGTGCTGGGCCGATTTTTTTTTTTTTAAACTAGAGTTTCAAACTCATCTGAGACCTAACCAAGTGTTTGGTATCTTTTGTTCTACCGTATCACAACCGCCTGTTGTGACTATTTTTGTTCATCCACACAAAGTTCGTTGGCTTTTATTTCAACAAGAACGAAACTCTTTTATGTAATAATAATAATAATAAAAATGATTAAAAAAAAAACAACGAAACGAGAAAACCGAAAGGGAAGGGGCGGGGCCCCTCCCAGCAAGAGTTCGAGTCCAAGTGCTCGGCAGGGGGGCCTGCGAGTCGGGCCTGCGGCCGTGGTCACCCCTGAACCCGGTGCCCCCCGGCGGCGCCTCTTCCCAACCCCTCGCGGGCGCCCCCTTGCCTCAGTCGTCGGAGATGGAGAGGCGGCTGAAGATGGGCAGGCGGCGGCCGGGATCCAGGCTGGGGGACTCGGAGCCGCTGAGGCTGCCCGAGCTCAGCGAGCCGCTCAGGTAGCTGTCGCGGTCCGACAGCGAGTCCGGGGGGCTGGGGGGCGCGTCGAACACGGGCGACTCGGACAGACGGCGCGGCAGCTGGAAGCCGAAGGGCGGCGAGGGCGGCGCGGGGGCCGCGGCGGG